ATTCCGATACCAGTCAAAGTTAGACTATTTGATAATTCGGTGAAATTATGTTTGGCGTAAACAAATTATTCTTTGACTTTTTTAGAAATTTGTCAGTAAATATTTCTTTGTATTTGAGTCAACTCAGAAATAATAATGTATTTTTTTGTGATATATAAAACTAAGAAAGAACGTAATTCATCATTGTCTAAGTACAACTGTATACGTGCAATTTATTCGATAATGACAACTGTTTTATTATCATGTCGTTGAGATCGACTGAGTGAGGCTATTCTATCTTACAAATTATTTTATACGACCGGCACTGATAGGATACGATCGAGCTCGTCATTAACAGCGATACGCCTCGTCGAGAGAAATGTACTATTTTTTCATAGTTACACAAAACTCTGTACTTCCTGGTCGTTAAAGTCTTCAGAAATATTACCGCTTAGTCCGACCACCCATTCGTATTATTTACTCATTAAGTCGTTATGAAATGACTAACAATTATGCCAGCAACTAGAACGGCCGTCGCGATGTCTATATATATATACATGAAAAGTACGCAATGATTCCTCAAAAACTGATCGCAATTATAAGTACGCATTATTAAATCTTATGTTTCTTTTTTTTTGTATCCAAGTTCTTACAATTATATTTTTTCACTTACAACAGCAACAACTTTATTATTATTTTTTTTGTGTCATCCAACGACCCATTAATCTAAAACTAAATGATAAACGATCGGTTACTTTTCAATTGATTACAAAAATTGTGTTCATTATTCCATTCAAGAAGTACACACGCAAAGTTTTCTAACCCAACTTGACACGCGATATTTTAAGTTTCATTGATCGATTAGAAAATGTAAACAATAATTATATCGACCCCAACTGAGTGTTGGCTGTATTATTTTGTTTTGTAAACTTGATTTTTTTCATTATTCATATAGATTTTATGAACTACTTTCGAATTATTGTTTTTTAAATATTTCATTAAAACATATAAAACTGAAATCAAATAAATTCAACATTGAAAAAACAAAACAGTAAATGTAATATAGTAAACCACCTGCTTAACCTGTTTTTGAATATTTATGGGTTTTTTGTTTCATAGCAATTTCTAAAAAACAATAGTTTTTGGAATTGGAATTATACTATTGAGCAATGCTCACAATTTTATAACCAATGCAAAATAAACATTTTAAAGTTTTACCAATTATCCTATGTGGTAAAAATGGAAAAAAAAATTGCGATGCGATCATTCTAAGAGAATTGATTGATTAATGGAGTGGATAGATAATGCCAATTATTTCTCGAGAAAATATTCGTAACAATGTTGCATTGAAATCTTTACTAAGAAATAGAGCATTTCGTGCTCAATATTTTACCGTTTCCACTTAGTATCAGAACTTTTTTTTCCAAAATTAATTTAGAACGAAATTCAAAAAAAAATAATAAGTTCACTTTTCACATTCAATGTTTTTATTTATTCACACGTTTCTTTTTATTATTCCTCGGTGACATTTTCAGTGATATTATATTTTAATCAGATGAGCCTGATTAAAAATTATAGAAATCGTTTTTTAATTGAAACATTTTGAAAAGTGATTTAGTTTAAATATTCTTGTTTATTTTCGCTTATTATTTTGTTAGTAACAAGTAGTAATGTGCAAAAGAAATTTAAATATTGGTATCTATAATACTAGAGACAAAATACAAGCCAAACATAATCAGTTGATTTTATAGAAAAAACATTTTTACTATAAATAATTCATAACATATCCTATTATCTAATCAAGCAAGCTGAATTATATACCGAGTAACATACTGGAAGAACTTCATTTTTTAAGTTTTTTCAAATTGACACCTAAACCCGTCAAAATTGTCCCAAGGACAATTAACTATTAATTTCTGTAAGTTACGCACGTGATCTCTCGGCGTGTTCAAATTAATTTCAAATATAAATAAAAAAAAAAAACACCGAAAATATCACTGAGCAGTATAACATTACAATGTCTAGACCGGTTCATTCTTTTTCTATCGTGGAAGTTATTTTTTCTTCTGTATTGACCAAGTCATTTGTCATGTGTCATTTGTACATGCAGTCGACGTGTTCCGTCTTAGTCATATAGGTTTCGATGCTCCTCATCGTATGTTTAATTATTTTGTCGTCGATACGGATCGTCTGCACGGAAAACCGGTTCTCAATTCCGAAATTATGGAAAACTGTGAGCCATAATTTAATAAAGGTCTTTGGTGGTAAACACTGCACTGGACAATATGGTTGGGTGCATTCGACAGATGATACGCGTCACACTCCACTGGCCGTATAATCAATATTCAATATGAGTCCTTCAAAGATATTTTTTAAAACACATTTTTCATGGTTCTATATTCCATTTTTAGGACGCAACATAATTTTTTCTTTACTGAGTTTAATAGCATTTTATGCGATAACGCAGTATTATTATACGTAAGGTTTACCAAATATCTCAATGATCGGAAATTATAAATCTGTACCAAACTTTGACAAGCGTCTCTATATCAAACCGACCCATAAACTGGTCATTCGGTTCGTATTACAATTTTTTTTTAACAAAGACTACCGTTTCATGAAGCTATCACGCGTTTTTGCGTCCAGAACTTAACCGAACCGAAGATGGATTTATGAGACTTCTGTAAATATGCTACTGCGTATACATATGAACGGCGATGTAATAATAATGTGTTGGGTGAGTATCGGTCCAGAGTATCTCGTGCAAGTAGAAAGCATCAAGAAGAGAATAGGGCGGTAAAAATACAAGTGAGCACGAAAGGAGAGACAGAGAGGTTAATAAACGTAATAAAGAGAAGGTTGAAAAAGTAATGTCTTCTCTCCGTGTTTTTTTTCAGTAGATATAAACGAGGCATAACAAGAGCAACGCTTTATGGCGGTGGTTGAAGAAAAGGAAAAATAAACTTCTATTATATAATGTATATAGGTTAGTACGTATATATAAGTATATATCAATCGCTGGAGTTCCGTGAGTAAATTAACTTGTAATTGCTGGTGGTTCATTAACATAAACACGGTCGTGCACCACACTTATCTACCGCTTATATCTGCCCTGCATCCCATATACGCATATTACAACGTACACCCGGTAGATTATTGGCTGGACTGATTTACGTGACACGATCCAAGAAAAACCCGGGTAATTATTTAAATTATTTATCCGTGTTACGCCTTATGGAATGTTTATACACTTACTGATCCAGGCACAATATTTTTACTCAATGCCCAATCATGTAACAAAATATATTTGTCAAAATAAGTGAAAAAAAAATTATATGGATTATGTTTTTAAGTGTTACAAATTCTATAAAAATATAATACCAAATCAATTTTTGACAGCTAGTTTGAATAATTAATTCATTTGAATCCAAACATTACACAAGTTTCACTAAACTGGCTAAAATGTTATTATTTATGCAGGTGGCACGTGGTATTTTTCTAGCACCTGTCTTTTATAATCTGATAAGAGTTTTAATAGTCAATATTTAAAATGACCCTAACCCTAACATCAACTTTTTGGGTTTATACTAACGCTAATTATAATTTTTTTTGAAGAGGTGCTATAATGAATTTTTGGGAAATTTAAGCTATGTTATGTTTTAGTAATAACGTTCATTTAACATTTACAAGAAATAACTATGGTATTTATCATATGCATTAGTAATATAAAAGTCGAATATAATTAATTTTGGTTTTCATTATTAATTAACAATTTTTTATCTCACCAAACTCTATTAAATTATTATAATGAAACTATTTTGCCACGGAAAACCCAAGAAAATATAATATTGTGCGTTTTAATATGCACTCTGGATTAAATGAAATCCCGTATGGCTACTGGATCTACACGATTTCTAGTAGCCAGCTACAAATTATGTAGTTGAAGGTGTCTGCATGGGAAACTGGACAGATACAGTTTAGAGTAAAACCCGTTTTCTTTAGAATAATAATTATCGTAATTTAGATACACTGGCGATTTGACCTGTTCTTGTTTTTTCTTACTTTTATTCTTAGTAGAGAAATGTTTTACCTCGATTACTGATATACAACAAATAATAATTATTCCGTTTTGTAATATATATGTGTTATTATTCTTATTGACAATAATATCTAAATACTTTATTTTAATGAATGAAATCTACCTGGCATATTGAAGATAAAATACTTGATATACTTATGTGAGAACTTTTTTAAGTGCAATTTTATTTGTGGAATTTGTCATTGACTTTCAGACAATGCTCCAAGATACAAATTCATATATATATATAAATTCATATATTCTGTTTTGCGTGAGATGTAGAATGTTCATGTATCGTATAGAAGTTATTCGGAGATTTCTATTCCAATCTTTGATCCATTAAAATAACTATAAGATCGTAAGAGTCTGTTATATATTGAACTTTGAATTAAACGTTTAAAGGTCCTGGTAGCAGCATATTATTGTGATCGGATTGTATACATATAGGCTATAGTTAAGTGCTATTCAAGACGTTGTTGTGATGGAAAAATAATCTGACTACAGAAAAGACCATAAGTAGAGGGCTGCAGAAATTTCTTTGCAATTGGAATTACCTTATTATGGAAATCGTCAGTGACGTTTGAATTGAACAATGTGATGTCTAATTAAAATCATCTCGCGACGTGCAAATCCTGCACAGGTTTACTACGTAGTTAGTATAATCCTCAAGGCAAATATATTCCTTCTATCATATATATAAACCTTCATCATCTTCCCCACTTCTAAATGAAGACAAATTATTCACTCTTTTATTCATTAGTTGGATATTACTAAACTGAGAAATTATCTTTTTGACTACGTTGGTTATCTCGTATATTCAACTATTTGCATACTTCTGTCGAGGACAGTCATCATAATACTTATAAAATTACGTCACTATATAATAATTATGTAAAGATTAGTATGTTTTGATGTCTGACCTTCAATTTATTTTTGATTTTAGGAGACAAACCACATGCTTGTGAACTATGCCACAAGAAATTCGCGCTTGCCTGCAATCTCAGAGCACACATGAAAACACACGAGAGTGAGTACAAATTTATCTATAAATTTAGATATTAAGTGTGGAAAAAATTCATATATCATAAATAGAATGATTTAAAAATATTTTCGTCGCATATTGTTACAATAAAAACATAGAAGGAGTAGTCAATTCATATTTTGTGCGGGTTAATCGTATGTTTCATATAAATCTATATTTATTATCATGTGGTCCGTATGAGACAAACATTTGAAATCACGTAGAACGTGTATGTCAATTCATTACGGTAATAACGATAGTGTGCTGGTGCGTTTTTTGGATACGAGTGTATTTGAGGGGCGTTCACCGACGGGTAGTGTAAGTATAACGTATAATTTTCGTAAGCCAAATGTATTACACAAAGACACGACGGTGCACAGTCCGATCCGCACTAATAATAATTTGATATAATAATAAATAGTGGTGTGTATTTTTTTTTTGGTAACCACTTACTTGATAGTTGCACAATTCCCTTAATGCCACTTTGATGTGAATCGTCGCAGACATCAATCGAATAAATTGCACGAAATCATTTCATTACACTATAGTGAAATTTAGGTTCATAAGATTTTGACCGTTGATGATAAGTAGAATATATTGATTCGTATATATTTTAATTGTGAAAAAGTGTACTATGAAAAAGGCCCTTGTAGCGTTTAACAAAAAAATATGTCATCGTTATAAATGAGAGAAGTATTAATGGTTTAGGCAGTGTACGAATAAAGATGATGTTGAATTAATGAAATGAGGTGAGTTGATATATAGAAAAGATATCATAGGTACCCTTTCTATATATCCATAGAACATAGAAGGGTATCATAGATGAAAAAAAAATTTGCGAATTCAATATAAATTCCAACGATATGACCTATACTAGGGTGTTTACGTATTTATCTGAGGTTGAAGTTCTTCATTACTGAAGAATTTTTATTGTAATTTATTATATTGATATCGATATTTTTACGAATTGATTAAATATAAAAATATTGAGTTAGATTGCAACTTCTTATTATTTTTCACTTTTTCCCATACTGTTATCTTGTACATGGATTTTGCAATCCATAGGATATCGTGGGCGTTTGTTGGATCGTAATTAGACAATATATCGTCTTTTGAACAGCAATAATATCAGTGTTTTGCTCGTGTGTACATTCCCTCAAAAATTAACGACCGTTCATAGACGATATTGGTCTAAATACATGGTGCTTAATGTTTTTTTTACCACCATTGGCAAATTCTATATCCTTTAAATGAAAAATACTAGAGCCGTCGCCGAAAATTGTCCCAGCAACATTCGTGGCGCCTGTGTACATTGAAAAAAAAAAAATTACAAAATTACTCTACCCAAATTAATAGACTTGATATCTTGTATTTATGTAATATTGTCTCGCGTGCTTACGCCCACCGAATTACCCATTAGGGTGAACACAGTTCGACTAGTTGATTCAACAGATAATTGGCGGTTTTAATAAAAAGTGCCCATCGTATCCCTACAATAATAACACAGTACAAGCATTTTCCACCTAGAAATATAGTACCTTACTTCAGTAAAGTACGTGACTATAGTCGGATTAAACGTTAATAATTTGTAAATTAATGGTAAAATTAAACATTTATCTTACTGTACAATATATTTTAAAGAATGTTTTGCAATAATATTTTAATGGGAATTTTTTTTGTTTTAAGGTGAAACTCAAGAAGAATGTGGTAGGTGTGGAAAGGTCTATATGACTTTAGAGTCGGACAAAGGTCGAGGCGCGTGCTCAGAATGCATGCCACCGTCTATAAAAGCGATATCAATCGGTGGTAGTGGTGGTGCAGATGACACATCTTATGGTGGTCACTCGCTTCTTGACTCTGAGGAGAGTCGCAGCTCAACGGGTTCGGATCGAGGCATGTGAATGTAAATACGTAAGCCAGTGGCGGTGGTGATGGCATTGACGTGGGTGGTTTTTCTTTTAATTAAAAACACGATACATGGTATTTAGTAATTTACCACTCGGTGTTCTAGCCAATGCGACCCCCATCCACGTCCCAAAGAAACTACATTCATAATTTTATACTTTGGATATTTAAATATAAAATAAAAACTACGAGTGTATGATCTTGAGTGATAACTTATGGTAACTGAAAAATTATCAATGAGATTATTTCTTTTTACAATATAAAATATTCGTGATTAATTTTAGTTTTATAATAATGGCCATAAATTTATCATAAAAGTTATCAAGATAGATTAATTTATAGCAAAAATAACTTAAGTATTCTTTCTGTATTATATAATTACTATTGATGTTAAGACTACTAATTAGTCATTTTTTTACGTGTAACTGTTTAATTTTGGTCAATCGACATATATTAATTTAGTTGTTATTCTAGTCACTTATTAATTTTTATCATTTTTTTAATTTTTTATTTATAAACGTGTTTAATTTATAAATGTACATAAATAAATCATACATTAATTAAGCAATTAATGTATATCACATAAAAAAAGGCTTTTGTATAAGAATATTATTTATTTATCTCTAAAACTACTTATTTTATAACATATGATATATAATATATATTATGTCAATAAATAAAATGTTAGTAAACAGAAACTTTAGTATCTTTTTACCAAATACTTCTTATGATATAATATAACATTTTAATATAATATAACATTTTATATTTCTTGTATAATACATTTAATTGTTATAATTATACAGAGTGATTTTTTTATCATAACCCACTCAATTACTTATAGAATAATAATAATTTAAACATTTTTTTAGCTTCGATGCGAAGCGGAGAAGATATTAATTTTACTATGATGTGTTTTTTTTTTTTTTTTTNAAATATTATAATAATGTATTGTGGCTCTAAACTAAAATTTAAAACAATTAATTACAAATGACTGTTAATGTTCCAAATTACAATTAATGACAAAATATTGATGTGCTGCACATCACTTTAATGAATATCGAATATCATAATATTTGGTCCAAAAATGTGTCGTACGGTGTTATTGTTTGATAGTCTAGATACACAACTATATCATAAATAAATTGTTATGATTCCAATAATCATCAAAATTTGTTTATTTTTTGATAAATTATTTTTTAAGATCAATGTTTATAACTTTCATTTCTTATAATTTTGATTAATTAATCGAGATTATAATTATATTTAACAGGAGTAAATAACTACAGAAAAAACCTAATAAAAAGTACCATTGAAATTTGTATGGAGTTAAAATAATATAACAGTTTAAACATATTGTTTCGATTTCATTTGAATTTTTAATGAAACTTAATTTGTTTATTAGATATAAACATTTAAAGTTTCAAAATGTTGAGTTAATATATAGGTATAATACACAAGGGATTACAAATACAGGTAGCTAATTGGTTTTTTATGATATTGCTATCACAGTCACGGATTGTTTATTATCAATTATGACTATCAATAGATATACTTTTTGTATTGTCAGTTAGTGTATTTATAAACTCACAACAATGTGCCTTACTACCATTGATAATAACAATGCTTTGTACCTGCTAATATCGATGACAAAAAACCAATTAGCTACTTGTATTTGTAATCCCTTGTGTATTATACCTATATATTAACTCAAAAATTAGAAACTTTAAATGTTTATATCTAATAATCAAATTAAGTTATATTAAAAATTCAAATGACATTTGTTATTAAATTAAAAACTCAAAAATTTTATTAAATTCAAAATATGTATTACCATTTAAAAAAACAAAGTTGACACCCTTACCAGGCATAAGGGATGAACTTAAAAAGTATTACATAGTTAATAATTCAAGAATAATGTGTAACTAAAGATAGTAATAAAAAAAATTTTTTTAATTATTATTATTCTGCAAGTAATTGAGTGGGTTATGATAAAAAAATCACCCTGTATTTTGTAAAATTCACTCAAACATACAGTCTACTCACCTTATTCCTTATTCTTGACATAGCTAAAGACTTAAGACAAAATAAAACCACGAACGTTAACTACGCGTGAAAACTACGGGGCGCTGCGTTCATTCAATAGTGATGTCAAATATAGTCAATCAAACATAGTTATCAATCTATACTCTAGTCCACTTTGGCGGAATCCGACTATACTGCGTTCTTACTTTAAATATGCATGGATTTTATATGCATTTTTTTATTAATATTTTTTTCACGATGAAAACACGTAGTACAATAGGGCGACGGTACAGTAGGAACAAGTATAAATGATATCTGACAATGGTTAACATCACTATCATAATAAGACTCATTCATTACAATCATTTATCTAGTAATATTTTAAGATCTTAGTTGTATACGCCTCATCCGTTATCACAAATTAATTATCTAAAACATGTTTGGAGAGAAGGGGGGGCAGCAGCATAACATTGTATGCTGACTTCTAATAGGTTCTCAGTATTTGTTAATCTATTGTGCGCGCAAGATGGATTATTTCAATGATATATCAGATAAATTGAATTTTCTTGTTGAATGCGATCCGACGTATAGAGTTTTCTAACTAGTTATTAAACTATTGAAAAATTATCGAGATTTACAATATTTTGCGGAACGTCTAGGCGATAAAGTCAATTTTTATATTACAAAGGTTGTTAATTATCGGATGCGGGAAAAAATTTGGACAATTCTGAATGTGCATACTCAATTGTGAAGCGAATATATTACGAACTTTTGGATTCAATCAAAACAATTGAAAAGACGACGAATGCGAACAGCAGCAACAGTAATGTCTATTGGAGTTTGAGACTTTAATCACTATGGCTATATTAAGGTGTAAATTCAATAAAATCAACGACTTGATCGATTCATCATTGAATAGAATTTCACAAATGTGTCGCGTATGCATTGGTCTAGACCCGGACGATTCATTTTGGCCAAAAGTCATGTTGGTAAACAATCATGAGGAACTTATTATCACTGTCGATTTACTACATAGAATGTATTCAATGTGCGGATATTTTTTATCGATAATGGAAAATTTAAACGGAATAATACTTGTGCAAGATGAATACGATAAGGTGAGCATGACCCAGAGAAGGCTAAACCGAGGAGTTGCATTACTGTTTCAGACAAAACGTGATGACGGTTGTTTTTTTTCGATGAAAAACACTGAATTTGCGCAATTGCACTTCATTAAAGATATGATATTTAAGTAAATACATCGACAATTGCTTCATATACGTCCGCATATTCTACATGAAATGAAGCTTATACTTCAGACTTCAATTGATCGTATGGTGGTCGAAAAAAAACCACTAGTTTTTAGCCGAATTAAAACATTTGATATTTATTCTTTCACGAAATTTGTCGTACGAAGTTTATGGGTAAATGTCTAGAAAATGCATTGAAAATTATCTTCAGCGATTATCCACACATGAAAATATGTTTAAAAATATTGAATTTTTTGATCTTAAAACTTAAACTTAAAAAAATTTCAGCGTGTGTATTACTTCTCCAATCTGTTGGAATTGGCTACAAACAGATCATTTCTAGGAATAGATTCTGAATGTGAATGTGTTGTATTCCATTTGACAGTCGTGAATAATTACACAATACAATGATGTTTTATCGGGAAACTGTTTAGAGCATTTGAAATCCAAGCGCAGATCAACCGTTGAAGAATTGACGGTGTCGTTTTGTTTAGAACAATCAATCACGACTATAGGTTCACGTTTTTTGTAATTTATATAGTCCAATAAAGGATAGGGGTCTTTTACGACCGTACTACATTGTCTGGAATTGTGCGTATGAGTTATAAAACGTTGTGTACTTATTGTTGTCGAAATCAGCGTTTTGGTTGTCGTAAGGGTATTCATCAGCGTTTAGATACGCTTTGACGTTTCTCTATGAACAGTGATTGAAATCTCCGAGAACGTGTTCGTCCTCATTACCCATGGAAATAAGTAAATATCTAGGTTTTTCCACATTCGATTAGGTGCGCAACGACCACGTGTGATGAGTTGTCTGTGGTACCAATGGGTAAACGGCAACGTCTCAGTGTCTAAATTCTAACGGGAGACATTTCTTGCTGTCCAGAATATGTATCAGACCCAGTTCAGTTTTCATGCTGAGTTCAAAGTACTTTACTATCTATTTGATTTTCGATATTTTCACATTGATTTGTTTTATCAATGTTGCAATTTGCGCTTTATCGTCTACTGTTGTCTGTGGAACAAATGACACGACAGTGCTGTCGGTACTCGATCTATTTAACACGAGTGTCTGAGTACAGTTTATCAGTGTGCGTCGATACCGATCGAAAAATCCTATGCACATAGATAATGCACATTGTGCCACAAATTCAGTTCCATCAACGAAATCATTGTTGTGCAAGATTTGCGCGTATTTCCATCCGGCAGGGTGTAATCGTCGAATGTCGTTTGGTGTGAATGAACAATATCCTTTGATGGTTGTAGCCTTCCAACGTATTTTATCTTGTCTACTTCTTTACCATTTACCTTAAATCTGATTTTATCGAATAGGTGCATGAAAAAATTTTGCCCCAAAACCATTTTACCGGCTGTTCCAGCTGGTGGTTTTCCAGTTTTCCTTCGATTTGGAAATAACTTTCGCACGGCACGGTGAATTTCTTCTTGTTGCGCACCTCGATTCGGATTTCATCGTTGTGTTCGTACGAGTTGCTGTAACTCTGATGTTCCAGATCGTACTCGCGTTTTACACTGTCGCCTTGCTGACATTTTTCCAACACGTGTAAGTACTCTACCATGATTGACTCGACAACTCAACAATTTTAAAAATTCAAAATTTTTCTTTGTTAGTTGCTGTTGCTGCTGCGATAGAGTCGCACGATTATCCGATTGCTCCGTCGTAGAGTATATGCCATCACTCAAAGGATGTTGCACTACACTCCTGTTGAAACTCAAAGGGATTTAAAGAGTGTCAACACGTTTTTCCAGTATAAAGACACGGTCGTCGACTGAAGATCTCGAGCCAGTGCTTCCAAACGATAAATTGTGGCTGAACTGTTATTGTTGTTGTTGTTGTTGCTGTTGTCACTGTTTATCAGCTGACAGCTGTTGACGGATGTTTGAAGGAGTAGTAATAGTTGCACGACTGTGACTAGGATGCACAAAAATAATCCAATTTGTAAGGAATGAAACTGTTTTATACGGTCCCATAACGTCTACGTACTTTCATCCATCCTGTTTGTTGTGTAGACGCACTGTTAATTTTTCACCTCATAGGTTGACACGTTGACCGTCCTGATCGATCAGGAATCGCATATTCGATTCGTGTTCAATACGTTTGTATTTAACGGATAGTAAACTACTTGTCTTGGACACTCGATAATCCGGTAGCCCGGTGGTACGTTTGGAAAGAATTCGTGCAATGTATGCGATTGTTGTCATGTTGTTGCTCGATTAAAAATTCCAAACACAAGTGACCACAATTTACCTCGTTTAAGTTTTGACATCTACTATAGT